TTTGGTAAAAGACATTATTTTTGTACTAGTCTTATGCCCTATCAGCTGGTACAACGTCACCACATGGTAGTAGAAGTATCATGATCAATTAGATGTGTTGCATTTTTGGTTGTATGTAATGTATGGCGTTTTGAGATTGCACATATGTTAATTCTACTTTGAATTGTTTAATGTTTGTATGGCTTGAAGCAGCGCATTTCAAGAAGTTCTGCCACTGAATAATGCATAACGCCTCTATAAAAACCTAATATATGGATGCATCTGACGACTGTCTGTGTGAAGAAGATGATGGCGACGATGCTGATGACGATAATGATGATGAAGATGACGATGATGATGGTGACAGTGATGACGATGATTTCAATTAATATCATAGCGAGAATAAATTCAGCAAATATTTTTTTGGTAAAATTTATTACATTTTTATTTTTAAAAATTTAAATTGAAGTAATTTACCGCGCTATCAAGGCGATGCTTAAAATTTTAATGTGAATTTAATAATGAAACACGCACTTTCCTACTTACTTGAAAAATTATCCGACGGCAATTGAAGCTGCTTAGTACAAGAGATTTGAGGAGTCTTACACACACACACACACACACACACACACACACACACACACACACACACACACACACACACACACACACACACACACACACACACACATTCATACAGAAACGTGATTGAACTGTATATAAAATTATAAAGTATATATAAACAGCCCACACACAAACTCAAGAAATAAAATTAAAGGGAACTCCATCAAATATTTTCCATAAAAACACAATTATATAATTATTCCTAGCTGGTACATTATGTTGAATAATTCTGATAATGCAAAAAAAATCATGTAGCATAATGTATTAAAGAGCCAGCCAACTATATGATAAGCAAGTCAACAAAACACTGCAAACATTAAATCTCAATCAACAAATACAATCATGTCTTAATTGTTATTCATTACAACAACTATAAGACACGTTAGAAACACACACGGAAACGTATACAAAAAACAGAGACACACACACACACACACACAGACACACACACACACACACACACACACACACACGCACATTCATCTTCTTCACCTTGTTACAATCGGAGCATACGGATGGAGATTTGCTGAGAATTTTGAACTGGTCCGCACAGAGAACGCATTGATTCCTCCCATCACCCAGGGCGTTCATCTTCATCGTTTCCAATTTGTCCACCAAGTAACTGAAAGTGTTGATTTTGGCCATACAGTTTGGCACCGTATATAATTTAAGAGATTGTATGATGATGATGATGATGATGAGGATGATGATGATGATGGGGATGACAATGATGAATTTACGATGACAAATACGATATGGTTGAAGATGTTTTTGGAAAAGATGGCGATGTTGTTGTTTGTTGGATAGTTTCATCAAACTGAGGTATGTCGTTGTTATGATATGACAACAGCGTTGGTATCACGATAGTCTGATGAATGGGGAATGATATTAAAAAATTGATAAATGATAATTGATGAATGATCAAACAATGTGCCGTCATGTGCATTTTGATCATATTCATGGTTTAAGTCATTAGAATACCTTGATGAACTTTTCTGAATTGAGATTTATCGGCTACTTATATTCTAAAAAAAATCTTTGATGTGTTATCAACTTGAAACAACCACGGATAGCAGGGACAAAACAGTTAACAAAATCTTTAAAAACTTTCTTAAAAAATAACACAATTTAGCGAAAAACAACATTAATAAGCATTATTCCACTCTGAAATTAACAGACGTGCCTCAGATGATGTACAAAGGAGATGCCTGGGTACAGTTTATGAATGTTTATGACGGGCAAGCACTGCATGAGTGATTTTGTTTCGTGAGTACATTAATGCACTCAATGTATATCTCCATTAGTTGTGCTGGTTACTGCTGGCGCTGTCAACTTCTATATCGTTCTTTATGTTGTCGTTTGTCTCTATTTCTGTTTAATTCATATTTGTTGTGATTAGCTTCTAGTAGCTATTTGGCTGTAGTGGGGTGTGGTTGATCAAACATACAGACACACACACACACACACACACACACAGAGAGAGAGAGAGAGAGAGAGAGAGAGAAACACACCATACACACACCATACACACACATACACACACGCACGCACACAAATAAATACACAGCAAAGGTTTGGTTGCAACTGTGATTGCTAATTTATGACCACCAGTAAGTATTGTGTTTGCGTGCGAGCAGCTGTATGATGCAGTGGCAATAAGCAGCTGCAATTATATTTTATTTGTCGCCGTGTGGCGCATTTTATGACGAGCCTGGCAGGCTGGGTGTGGTTGCAATTTTTTCAATTTGTATCTCATTTTTATAGAAAATTGTTTTCTTTTTATTAATTTATATGTGTTGCAAATAACCAGTAGGATTTAGATACATGGTCTTATTTGGTTTGCATGTTCCTTAATTTTCAAACCTTTTCTTTAGTATGCTTTTGCAGTGTTTTTGAAAAACTCTGACAATAATAAATCATGAAATATTAGGATAAATTGAAACGAATTCAAAACAACATCCGAAATAATCTTATCAACTTTATTCTTTTCATGCCAGAAGCTTCAATGACAATATCTCATATCATCATGTTAATGTAATTCATTTAAAGCTAGCAGTTCCCTCGTTGATGTCATGGATGATTCTTAATTTATGCAACACAGACAGAACTAGTGGGTAATACATGGATCGCTATTTCCCTATTGAATCTATACCTGGAAATAATAAAGGGCCGATTTGACATAACAGAATAAAAAAATTGTCATCATTGTCGTGAATAAAACATTAAATAGTAATAAAATGAAGTAGACACCTACATAAGTATTAATAATCATGATATTATTGTTGTTAAAATGTCACGATAAATTTAGACATGTTAAAAAACTTTAAACATGTTTAAACAGATTTAAACATGTTTAAACAAATTTAAACATGTTTAAATAAATTTAAAGAAAGTTTAAATCGACTTGAAGTCCATCTTTTAATTGTTTCCATACAATTATTCCTTTGATCCAACTCCCACAAATAATGATCCTACATTTTGCAAACATTTCTTTGTATAAAAAAAATAAAACTAACTTTCTCTCTCTCTCGTTTCTCATTCTTTTCTCTCTCTCTCTCTCTCTCTCTCTTTCTTTCTCTTTTTTTGAAACGCCTATGTTGTCTTTTATGAATGAATAGGGAATTATATTTTTTCGAAGCATTGAAAAGTTAAATTTTAATTTGTTCTAAAAAAATTGAAAAAAAAAATAAATTGAATGAAAATTTTTTTAATAAATGTTAAATTTCTAAATGAGCTATTTATTGGAAAGTTATCTTTTAAAAAAACAAGAACATAATTCATTCCATATTTTGGAAGGGAGAGAAATGAAAAGTACATTATTAAAATATCTATGCTCTCTACATGAATGTAAACAATTCTCTGTTTACATTCTTGTCCTTGCCGATAATTACAACACTGGGAAATTAAACAATGAATAAAAAAACCATGGTGATGATGATGGTGATGATAATGGTGATGATGATGGTGATGATGATGTTAGTGATGTTGATGATAGTGATGATGGTGATGATGATGAAGAAGAAAAAGAAGAAGAAGATGACAACGATGATGATGATGAACGATAATGGGTGATAATAAATTTCTATAGGTGACTATGAGCGATAATACGATGATGAGTGATAATATGAAAATAATGAGTTTGGGCGAAAAATGACGATGATGGAATTTTTGTTGATGTTATTCATGATAAATAGCAAAAAAGCATGGACTTGATCATTCTGTAGTCAGTGTTGCTTGTATCAATTTGGCCAGCGTCAAATTCGATGTTGTTTTTCTTTTGTAAACAATGATAACAATGATAATGATTAGATTAACATGAATTTTTATTATAATATATGGATGGATCTATGGATGGTGACGCCATGCGTGACGTCACAATTGATGTTAACAGTTCAGTTGCTATGATGATGAGTGATAATACGAGGTGATGAGTGGCAAAGCTGTTTATGATTTATAAGAGATGAAAATGAAGCTGATGATGACGAACATGAAGATGATGATGACGAACATGAAGATGATGATGACGAACATGAAGATGATGATGACGAACATGAAGATGATGATGACGAACATGAAGATGATGATGACGAACATGAAGATGATGATGACGAACATGAAGATGATGATGGCGCACAATATAATAACATTGTAGCAAGCAGACGCGTGTAATTGTCCTATAAACAATATCAATTATAGTGACATCATCATCGTTGTCGCCACATCGTCGTGGCATCGAGAGTTATTTCTACAGCCGTCAGTGCACCACAAGCAGCATCATTTCCATCATCATTAATTAATCATCATCGTTTTGAAAGCGAGGAAACTGATAATAGTATTTATAATGAGTTTGAAGTGTATTATTATTATCAATTTATTCTAATTAATATTTGTATTATTTTAACAAGCTATTATCAACTCCGCTATCAACCTTATTGTAATACACGCAACAACCATCAACATACTGACGATGATGCGATTGATGATGACGACGACGATGACGATGATGATGCTGAGGGTGATGTTGATTTGAAGAATTGAACTTGTACTTTTACTACTGTAAATGTTCTTCAAGTTATATGCCCCTGGTTCATAGGTCATAATTCCACGCTTAATTTTTTGCTAAACAACGATAACAAAATAAAGCTGAAATTTTATTCAAGAAAGTAGATTGATCAAGATGATGGTTTCAAAACTCCAACAATCCTCTTAACACACAAACCAGCCACGTCATGACATGATCAAGTGAACAATCACTTGAAATTAACAAAATAGACGAAAAATTTGTTGAAATAGCACAGCTAAATAATTATACTGTAAAAAGCCACAACCAGCACACACTATGACATTACACACTATCAAAGAAGTACCAGAAATAAATGAATATTACGAAACACATAGCAGCAGGAACGAGAGGATGCGAATCAGTTACTTCACAGTCAGGTAGTACAGGCAAGCAATGCTGATGGCCGGGCGAAAAGACATAAACCTAATGTAAAAAATACAAAATAAAAATGTAACACAAAGAACAAAACATCAAAACAACAGATTAAAATGGTGAACAAAATGGTGAACAGCAACAAACTAACCCAATTCTGTACATTTCGAATTGTTCTACTTTTTCAGCCTGTTTAATGACCTTGGTAATTCGATCCATCTCTTCACTGGTCAGTGATTCCTGCTTGCTACACGGAGTTTTCCGGTTCGTGTGGATTGACCAGCCGGAGCCTAATCTGTGGTTGATGTTGTTGTGTTTTTTTTGTTGTTGTAACTGTTGTTGTTGTTGTAACTGTTGTTGTGACTGTTGTTGTAACTTTTTTTGTTGTTTGTGTGGTTGTTTGTTGTTGCTGTAGTGGTTTTTGTGGTTGTTGTTGTAGTAACTGTTGTTGTGTTTGATGTTGTTGTGGTTTTTGTGGTTGATGTGGTTGTTGTTGGGCGATGATAATTATGGTGATGATGATCACGATGATGTTGATTAACAAGATGATAACGATAAAATAATTTGCAATAAATAATGATGATGATAATAAAAATTACAATGGCGAATGTAGAATATAGCAGCATCATGTTTTAAAGAGCATTTTAAAAATATGATGCTTGAAACGTTATGTAGATTGAGTATAATGTACAGAGCATTGATGACAAAATTAGGAAAAGTTTAAAATAAAGTTTATCGAAATTTATTTTTAAGATTTTCTCGCCAAAATTTACAAAGGTAATGTAGATAGAACGTTTTGTGATGGAGGTTATGGCTGTATTTGCGGAAGAAGATTTAGGAGTCGAGTGTTTAAAAATGTGAGAAACGTTGAAAAAATTCCCATGCTATTTCATTTTTCAAATTTTTACTTCAAAACTTCTTCAAACTTATGCAAAATTTTTCATAATTTTTCAATATTCAGTTGCTGTTCATGCACATAAGAATTTAATTCATTTATTTAGGGAGTTTAGTTGTTTTTGTATTAAATATTAGTTAAAAAATCTTCTAGCCTCTAAAAACATGGTCATCAGCATCGTTGACAACATCTTCATCACCACTTATGTGATTTCAGTTTCATTGTCATCATTGTCAGTAAATAAAAACCTCATCACCATCATCATAATGATTCAGCGTACCTACTCACAGCAGGGCCAACCAGAGCCATAGTGCATTAAACAATAAACTGTCTGAACATGTTGATACAGGAACACGTTCCAAGCCACTTCATTACGGCAAATATATTATGTACCATTTTTACATATGGTGTGTGTATGTATTTGTATATGTATGCGTATGTATGTGTGTATGTATTTATGTATGCGTGTGTATGCGTGTATGTGTGTGCACGTCGGCATTCAGTTGAATATTCGTAGTATGCATGTATGTTTGTGTGCGTATGTGTGTGTGTGTGCATGTATGTGTGTGTATGCATGTATATGTATGTGTATGTATGTGTGTGGGTAGATACATGCTTTTATATATACAAGCATGTAAAAATTTGTTTACCATCGTATGGGTTAAATGCATGCTTGTGTTGATACTGCAGTGACCTGTTGTAGATAGCGACCGTACATGTTTCCATTCCATTCAGCAGTTCAGTTATTGATGTTGTTCAAATGCTTTTTTCATAAGATTAATATCATCAATTCTTGCTTTGACACTCAATGATTTGAATTATTTACACAGTGACTCGTGTGCGCAAATGCAAGCCTTGACTTTGTAATCGCAATGAGCTTGCTTCGCGTGTTTTCAACGCAGCTCTCTTTTAAATTAATTATCCAGGTTTTATTTATTAATTTTTAATTATTTTAAATAATCGAAGGTCTATAAAATTGATAAAATTTAAAAAAAAACTGGCTTTGCTGGAACTTAAATAAAAAGAATTTCATGTGATATTTAGATGAAGTTGGAAAACATAAGATGCAGCAATTAATAGGCCTAAATAATCCTCTTAATACGAAGTTTCTACAGCAAATATTTTCTCATTAAATAATGCTACGAGCTTTGTGATTGCTGACAATTAACGACAGCATTTTATGTCCATTATTAAATGAGGTTGAAATTACTGTTAAAACTTTGTTTTCTATTCGTTGGAGGAATTGAAAAAAAGTTTCCATGAGAAGCAGGTTTTGGATAATTTTTTTCCTGTTAAAGAGGGCCGTCACATTTTATTAAGTTAATTATAAATATTGTTAAAAATTCACTTCGAAATGCGTGAAAATTATCAAAATTATCGTAAAAATGGACTCACATGGACCAAATTTTTATTTAACTTGGGCTTTTCATCAGATATTTTGAAATCCAGAAACATTTTCTTCAAATAATTTTTTCAACAACTATCGATAAAACCAATTATTACCATTCATTACCAAAATTTTATTTTCATACCCGTCGTTAATTTAAATTTTTTTATTAATTTATTTCTTAATTCTTTATTAATATTTATTAATAATTCATTAATAGTTTCAGAAGCGTCAACGAAAAGTACACAGAGCATGCAAATAGTGGCACACGTGATGCAACGCATACATCTTCCAATTCACTTCGATCCATTGGTCATCTTCATTTTCTTTATCATATAGGCTCATCGTTTAAATCATCACGCTACAAAGTTTATCATCGTCGTCATCTCCATCATCGGGATCTATCTTCTCACCAATCCAGACCATACAAGAAGCCATATAAATATGTAATTGTAATGTGACTTTGTTATTTACGATAAAGATGAAATGGAGATGATTCTCATCGTATCTGCTTCCATTGTTATTAATAAAGATTATTTCACTTCTTCTTTTTTTTCTTCTTATTTTTCTTCTTATTATTATTATTGTTGTTGATGTTGCGGATGTTGTTGTTGAGGTTGTGATTAGTTGGTCAGAATAAAATAACAACAAAAAATAATCATTAACCTGAGAATAATAAAAATTATATTTGGAAGAAAATTAAACCATTGAAATTTTCTAACTCCGTGACAAAGAGCAAAACAAATAACATAGATTCTAGATTTCAATCATTGGAAAAAACTGATTAAATAATGTTGTAAAAATGACTACGTTCACAGACATCACGATGATAATCGAAATGATGGTGAGGGTGAGGATAATGATCTTGAGGACCAGGATGAAGCGATGAGAAGGATGATACTTCTGTTGGTTATTCAATAGTCCTGAAGTGGATGCATTTAATGCGCGCAGGCAGGCCAGCCTCCTGCTTTCCTCTTGTTTTTTATCATCTTTTTCTCTTGCTCTCTTTCTCACTTCTTTATTCTCTTTCTCCAAAATTTTTTACTAATTTTTTCTTTCTCTCACTTTCTTTTGCTCTGTCTTTCTTTTTCTGTGTTTCTCTGTCTCTATTACATATTTCTCTCTCTCTCTTTCTCTCTCTCTTTCTCCTTTTTTCTAGTATCGAGTTTATCTGTCAACACCGCTTTTATACATTTTTTTTCAACACCGCTTTTATACATTTTTATACATTTTTACACTTTTATACATTTACAGTAGTGTAAATTTTAAATAGTTGAAAAAGGAGAAAAATTAAAATTATTCTTGTTTGATCTAATAGGTGTGCATTAGAGTTCTTTAAAAAAGTAACCTAATCATGTAGTGTAGTGTCCATCCAGTGTTTCTCTAGGCAGAGGGAGACCAAACATTATGTTCTAAGTTAAACATTATGTTAGCTAATAAGTTATTATCAATTGCTTAAAACTTCATTTAAAATTTTATTATCCTATATGAAATTTTAATTTAACTATCTCATGTATCGCCATTTTATTTATTTTCTAATGGCTCTAGCGAAATAATTAAACGGGACAGAGCTACTAACGCTTAGAATATTTTCAGATAGAAAGGCAAGCAGTTTGCTAGCAACTAACAACTAACAATTTCATAACTCACTTATAAACTCATTATCTTTTGACCATTTACGTTAAAAACTGTTAAAAATATTTGCAAAATCTGTATAGGCGGGCACGGAATATCAGTTTAGTTTTCATGTATTTTTTTGTTTTTTTTTATTCTTTGAAGTTTGCCCATGTGTTTGTTCATTCATATCTCCAAACATCGCCATAAAGATGTTTGCATATGCTGATTTGATATGGATTTCCTCTTACACTTGCCTGCTGGCCTATGAGATCCGTGTTTCTCTTGCATACGAGTACGAACGCCATAATTTTCTATAGGTTCGTTTCAATTCGGGAACGTTTGAGGTTAATGTCTTCTGCTGCTGTTTGTGTGTTCGTTGTTTTTTTGTTTTTGAAACTCGCCAATGAAATGTCAGACATGACATAATGAGCATCATATCATTAGTGAGGCACAACGTTAATAACTTTGTTTGTAACAGTCAAAATTTCGAAATATTCAGTGTCCTGAAATGTGGCTAATATCATTACAAAAATCAACATCATCGTCATCTTCGTCGTCGTCGTCATCATCGTTATCATCATCAACATCATCATCATCGTCATCATCATCATCATCATCATCATCTTACTTGGCCCTGAGAGCAAGTTGTCTATCATTTGGACACACCCAGGTTTCCATGACAGCAACTGAAAAATCGTCTGAATGATGATGATGATGACGATGAAGATGATAATAATGGTGACGATGACGATGATGGTGATGATGACAATGATGATGATGTAATGACGATGATGATGACGATGAAGAAGAAGAAGAAGAAGATGATGATGATGATGGTGATGATGATAGTGATTGTGATGACGACGACGATGATGATGATGGGATGATTATGATGACGGTGATGATTATTATGATAAATAAAGTTATGGAGAAAATAATTATGTCAAAATTGACAAACAGACTGTTCAAATATCAGCATTGTTGTCTTTATTATTAATAAAAAAGATTAAATCATAATATTACTGTACAATTTGATCCAGTTCTTTTAGTATTTAGTATCTATGACATTATAATTTCTCCTAAATATTGGTTGAACATGTAAGAAAGTTGAACTGTCAACCATCATTAAACAATCACGTAGCACAGAAACAACCTAGCAAATTGGCACATGTACTAAAAATATTTGGTGAAGTTATTATGTTTTTAATTTTTGAAATGATTAAGGTAAAATTTTTTTTCAACAATCAAACGGTTTTTTCAATGAGTTTACCTTAGATTTTTTGTTAGGAAATTTATTTATCTTAAAAAATCTGACATTGATATGTTCAGAAAGCATCATGGAAAATTTATCACTAACATCAAAACAACTTGAAAACTTTAAGGAACCTCAATGACAACAAAAAAAATAACAAAAGTATTTACATTGTGATGAATGTCAAGACAGTCGAGAAGATATCTCAGTTGAAATGTTCAAGGAAATGTGGGTGTATTTAGTTGATGTCGTCGTTGTTGATGTTGTTGTTGTTTATGTTGTCGTTGTTGTAGTAGTTGTCCAATTGTTAAAGTGGGATTTTGATTCAACAGTTCCAAATCAACTGATTTTTAGTTGAGTTTAGTTTAATGGTGGTTTTGTTGTAAATGTTATTGCAGTTGTAATAGTTGTTTTTACATTTGGAGATGTTATTTATTATAATGGTCATGTGGTTGTTAATGTTGTTATTGATGTCGTTGTTGTTGCTGATGTTGTTGATGTTGTTGTTGTTGTTGTTGATGTTTTAGTTACTGATGTTTTAGTTGATAATGTTGATGATGGTGTTTTATTGTTGATGATGCTGTCTTGTTGTTGTTGATGATGTTTTTTTTGTTGTTGCTGATGTTGTTGTTGATGATGTTATTGTTGATGTCGTTGCTGTTGATGTTGTTGTTGATATTGTTGTTGATGTTGTTACTGATGTTGATGTTGTTGTTGCTGATGTTGTTGTTACTGATGTTGTTGTTGAAGTTGTTGTTGATGTTGTTACTGATGTTGATGTTGTTGTTGCTGATGTTGTTGTTACTGATGTTGTTGTTGAAGTTGTTGTTGATGTTGCTATTAGTGTTGTTGTTGATGTTAATATTGTTGTTTAGTTGGCTGGAAAATGAGTCTTTTTAGGTTGTTGATGGTTAAAAGAAGGCTTATGTGAATGTCGTTGCTATCATTCTGAATGCTGTCGGCAATGAATTTGTTTAAAAAAATTGTTAAATAACGATTTTGAAATAATTTGACGAGATGGAATAAAAAATTATAAAACTTCCATACCTAACTTTTTGATTTATGATGAAGTGATGGATGACGGAGGAAGCTGTGATGATGAAGAAGATGAAGACAAACTCAATGAAATGGTGTAAATAATGGTGGTTATAATGATATAATACAACGGTAACACTAACCTACAAGAAAAATAGCAAAAATTATTCAAATAATTTATTCAAATAATTCAAATGAGGAAGACGACAAAGCTAACGACTCAATGCTGACAATAGTGATGACGTTGAAATGGATTAAAACGATGATGAAGACGACGACGATGATGATTTTCTACTTGGGATCGGCAGATGTCGTTGATACGATATGAATGAATGAATGAAGGTAAGGTGACTTTTGAAAGAAATTTTAATGACTGCACAATAAACATATGTATCTTTCTTCCATATATGTGTCTTTTGTGCGTGTGTGTGTGTCCGTGTGTGGTGTGTGTGTCCGTGTGTGGTGTGTGTGTGTTTTTATCGTTGTTGCCTCCATATCTAGATTTTTCTTTAAAAAAAGAACACTTAAAAACCCACAAACCCAACGATGTAGCTTCGTAAATTGCAGAAATTTGATTTTAATGACAACACTTCACATCATCATTCTTCATTACCATTCATATCATCCCCTACATACGTCATCTTTTACGTCGCAAAATCATCCACATCATTCCAATCAACATTATCCAGCATTACATATTTTTCTTAGAATATATAATTCACATCACCATCATCTCGTCAGCGTCCTTACTTCATCATCGTCATCCGTATGGCCGGCCATCGCACACATAATTTCCATGGAAAGAGTAATTCGATTGTTGTCCATGCAACCTGAGTTAGAAATAATTTTATTTTCTTACGCAGTCATTAACTTGCTTCTTCTCATAGCTTTTTGTTTTGTTCATATTTATCTATTCATCCACATTTATCTATTTTCATTTACCAGTTTTTTGTTGGTTGATTTCTTCATTTTTTAGTGTAATGGAGATGTTATTATGTTCGTTAAAAAATTGATAATAACGTTGATAAAATTTTAGCCATTAGACCAATAAGTTTTTTCTAAGTGTTCTGTTTGTATGTATTGTGCACATTTGTTCGAATATATTGACATTAAGACGTTTGATGACTAAGAAAAAATAAAATATAAATTGTCATTCAAAGATATTAAAATATTCAACCAACTAAAAATTCTAGAAAATGATAGTTTAGAGTTATTTTCTTAACTCTACATGTACGAACAATTCAGGCATAGTAAAAAGTTGTACTGCATTATGTGCTGCACTGTAGTCTAATCTGTAATCTATAATCTGTAATCTATGCCGAGCATTTTGAGTTATTTGGTAGTCTTTCTGTCCGGTCCAACCAGCATGTCAATGAATCAGATCGTTAATCGGTTGAATGTAATGGGCAGACAAACCAACGAAGCTTAAAACTGGACAATGTGAGTTTTGTTGCTAATTGACACTCTCTTTATATTATATAACTCAAATATTTTGGTTAAATTTTTTAAATTTATCTCTCGAGTGTGTCTAAAAATAGCCGAATGCAGATTCACGCGAAATCACAACGCACCTACGTAATAAATATTTCAACAAATTCATATGTAAATTTTCCAACTTTGAACTTACCTTTGAAATTGGATAAGATAATATTTAAAAGCTACCAACAGATGCAACATGAACGTGATGTTCGTAATACATAATGCAGGGTAGATGATGATGGCTGATTAGACACAACTGCTCAATTGTTGTCACGAGGTTTCTTCAGAATGAGTGTTAAATTTATTGCGGTTGTTAATATTCTAAACATTGTTTACTCTTGTTAGTTGTTGGGACATTTGTCAGATACTTTGGAAGGTCTTTAAAGTTGCTTTAGTGTGAATGTTGCATCTGCCATCAATATGTCTTATGAACACTCCATTACTGTACTTTTAGTTCTCAATTTCGTAGTTCAACGGTGTTAAGACTAGTGAACAGATGATAATGCATTTCAAAAGAATGCCGAAATGTGGATTCTCCGAAGGCATTTCAGCAAATTTCAAAGGACATTAAAAATTAAACTTGAGCAGCTTCCTAATGGTTATAACACTTTCTAAAGTGCATTCGTACGTTGTTGAAAAAAACACGCGCAAGTTATTGTGTAGTTCTGCAATCAACTTTGTAATATTAAACCGTTTTTTTTTTAAATATTTTAACATAAATTTTTGCAAAAATTTTAAAACCTAATAATATTTTTTAATCTTAAATCAATTTTTATTTAGCGATATAACTCTAAAACATCACCTTGTACTACTATCGACAATACATGTTAAGATGAGAATTTGTGCGGTCGCGGATGTTAACGATTAGGATGTTTAATGAACATCATTAGTGAGAGTTCTCTCTCGGCTTTCGTTTGTTCTATTCTAAATAATTTTTATGATCATCACTCACTTCAATGGATTGCAATACTAAATAAAATTGTGAAGATGAAATAATTTTAATATTATTTTTACGAAAGCTTTTGAACGTGTAAACTCTTCGGAGTTTTAAATTTAATTTTATAAATAGTGGAAACCTGAAAATCAAATTCGTGTTCTTATTACGCCTGCTCTAAAGAAACAAAAAAAACTTACATCTTTCAGTGCGGTGGTGGGTGAATATATTCACACTCTATACATTGTATCTCACCGTACATCTATTTGGTTCTGGTATCAAGTTAATATACATAGATATCCTCTCACATAATTCCAAGTCATTTTGTATTGGGCGCCATTCATAAAAACGTTAGAACGCACGGCACAATCATCTGTAACAGGCCACGATAACACAACAATGTTGTTTTTCAATTAAGCATCTCGAAATGCCATTACGAAATTTTTAAAAATATACATTGAAATGCAAAAAGTGTCATCAAATTCAAATTTCTTTCTTTTCATAATGTTATGTGCCTTATGAGATAGGACACTTTTTTGCCAAATAGAGTATAGTTTCGCATATCAGAACGGATTCACCCACGCCAATCGACCCGCCCACACACGAAATTATTACTCCTTCATACCAAAACACCGCCCGACCACATCCGCTGACGTCATCGATCACGTGACCGCTTCTCTTCACTGATGATTTATTAAATGGCGTTGGATATTTATGAAATGAATGTGGTTTGATATTTACGAGATGAACTTGCGTTTATTTATTTTTTTTTTTCATTTTAAAGATTAATAACACCATGAGGCAACCACGAGCCAATTCATCATCATTTCTCGCTCAGCTTCTTTTTCTTCCTCAGTTGCATCTCCTTCTAAAACATCATAATCATAGTGGATATTACAGAAATTACAAACATGGGATTATCACCTCCATCACCATCATCATTCTCCTCCTCGTCACCACCACCATCATCATTTTGACAATCACCATCACACCCATTATTTTTCTTATTCAGAAAAGTGTCGCGAAGTTAATTTTTGCTGAACTGAGGTTCTAGCACATTACACTCGTTTTAAAAACTTCACACTGGCTTACAGTAGAGAAAGGCATCCAGTTAAAGATCTCCGCCATGATGTGCATAACTTATCAACAGGTCCTATCAACGATTCACAATCGGCACTCCTAGAAATACACTTTGCATTCTTCTTAGCACAATCTTCTTTTATGTCCTTCATACTGGATTGGATTCTGATACCTGGAATTTTACAACTGTTGAACCTAGCGTGTGGAACAATTTGCCATACAATCTCCGTGCACTTGGTCTTATCTTCAGAAGGTTTCACAGAGAACTTAAAATTTTCTCAAGCGCTAGTTGGCATTGGTGCTTGTAAAAAAATTTTTTTTCCATAAAAATTGCGTTTTAAATCATTAACATTATTAAAAACGATATAAAAATGACACAAATAATTCATCCACAAAGTAAGCCTACAAACACAGGACCAAAAAAATAGCTGAGGATTGCAACAAGGATTCATTCTGAACATGCATAAAAAATTGAAAACAAAGTATTTGAATGGACGAATAGATGGTGCAATGGTTAAGATACCTTGCACCGCAGATGATTCAACGCAAGTCACTTTCTAACATTGTCCATCGATAGTTTGACCTTCAACTGGAATTCTCTATGGCTACTACTTTGCTAATAATGAAACTGAAGCAGTCACGCTTTGGGACATTGTTGAGATACCATTTTGTCATATTTTCACGCGTAAATTTGTAAAAAAATCTCAACGTTAATTTTTACCGGAACTTTTTCCATTATCCACTCAGAAGAATGTTACTTAAAATGTCAAAACAATACAAAATTAACATTAATATTGCTAATTAATGATGTTTATTGTGATGATGTTGCATTTGAGTACATATTCAAAATTAGTTAGACTTCTTATTAAATAAATATTAATACACAATCATACGTAATGCAAAGCAAACAACGCCTAAAAATCTTGGGCCTTTAACAAATAAATTTCACTATGTAATAAAACCCTGGTGTTATATGCACCCAAAAAAGTTATGACAGATCTGTTGATAAATCAGGAGATGATCCTTCCTTATAACTCTACCAAAAGTGATTTGTGCGAATTTAAAGTTGAAATGATTCAAATCAGGTGCGACAATCTCTACATCAGATGTAAATGTACGATGTGCGTACATGCCATAATTAACAAGTTTCAGACATATACACGTAACGGTAGAAAAAAAGCTACTTTATTAAACGATCATTAAACTGTTATACCGTTGATGTGAAAGTAGATAAAATAAAATGTAAATAAAAAATTATGCTGATCATCAAAGTGATGAGAAGGATTACAAACATGATATTCAAACATTCATACATAATGTGATTCACACATACTTTTCATGCATTGGGTATGTTTATAACTATCAAGTATTTAATTACTAATTAATTGTTGTATATCATAGAAGACAATTAAAAAAACATGAAAGGCACTGTCAAAGATATAACGTTAATTATATTTATTTACTAACCAATCATAAAACACGTTAATTACGTTAATGATGCCGTTAATACTCTTGCTGTTGGACGTTAAGAATGTTACTGATGTGGTTTATTGTAACATTGTTGTTTGTCATGTGAGATGTGATGTAGAGAGAATTTTATCGGTTAATTTGTTATGGGAATAAGGCAGATGATGACAGACAGAAAGAGACAAAAATATAAGAGTTGAAACGTTAATTTGTTTTCAGGAAGAATAATTTAACGAAAGCGAAAGTTTATTTAGTGTAAAATTACGTTTTTGTAACAAAATCAGAACCTTTTGCCCAAAAAATCTGAATAATAAACAGCGTTTAATGAAAAAACGAACGACTAATTTGACAATAAAAACATTCTGACATCATAATTACCAGCAATTCGCAACATGAAAAACAAAGCATCGAAGTCGGAAAAAAATGTACACTACACTCATATACTCAAGTTGACTGAAAATTTTCAGATTCCAACTCTCAACTTCACTTCCGGATTTATGCTCGTAAAAAGTTATACTTTAGCATTACAATTTGAAGAAAAAACTTTGGTTAATGGCGAAATTTGCTGATAAAAAAAACCTACAGATAAAAAATCTGATAACTCGGATTCTTGCAAAAACCTCAAACATTAAAGTTATCAACAATACAACCACAATCACTAATAAGCCATATAAAGACACAAATATAAACAGAACAATTAAAAAATGGAAACAACAATGATTTCTATCCAGCAACAAAATACAAACAGTTACTAATATAATAAACAGCTAAAATAGTCACCAATGAAATTCTAAAAAATGTAAAAATTAATCGGTATCATTAAACCCGCAAAAATGATATCTCTAATGGCGTAATTACAGATACAAATGATATCTCTAATGGCTTACAGATACAAATGATATCTTTAATGGCGTACAGATACAATAGATCATGGAGATAGATAGTCGAACGATACGTGTGGCTAACAAAACAAATGCGCACATGAATTGACTGTTTAATTGGACAGCACTTAGGCGCTCAATAGCTACAAAGTGTTCATCGTCATTGTATTTTTGTCATAGCCACCATCGTCATCTTCTTCAGCATCATCGTCGTCATAACTAACTTTTTTTATTTATACTGTTTTAATATTTTTTTCCTCTTCTGAATAAATTTTTCATTTCAAATTAGAATTATTTTCTAGAATAAGTTTCATTATAGCAAATTTTTCAAACTCTCATTGTCACTTTCATCAACTTACTTGCTTTTTTTGATCATTTTCATACTCTTGATCACCATCATCATCATCATCATCTTCTCAACCACCGCCACTGCAATCATCATCATCATCCTCACTATCATCATGACCTCGTCATCATCCACATCATCGCAATCGTAACCTTCAACAACTAATCATAACCTTCAAGACCACAACAACCTTCAAAACCATTTTATAACCGTTCATTTGATTCCGCGTTATTTCACATTTTAAAATCCATCTTCTCTACGATCTACACTCTGTTATAACGGCTAACAATGTTAATAGTAGTTATAATTGCCCCGCGTCATAGTGTAGCGGTAAGAAGCGACCAGATTCGACTACATTTCCAACAGATATTTTTTTACATGATCTTCCAATGACAGACTTGAATCCAACGTCACACCAAGATCGTTCAGCGGTGACGAGAAACTCTTCAGTAAACTCAATCTTTGCGAAGTACCTAGCCAGATGTGTTGTGTTTTCAAAACGTTTATTGCCAAGTTATTAGCTGACATCCATTTTGCCACAGTGTCAATTGAAGTCGATACCTTGTGTTGAAAATAATACGACGAATTTGCGGGACAGAAGCCATAGAGCTGAATACCATCCGCATATCCATGACATAGTAGGCCAGATTCTTCGACTACATAAATAATATCAGGTGTGTATTTTTAGCACGAACATTTCAGCTCTCATAATTTTTATCAACTTATAAGTATCATAAATGTTGAAATTATTAGGTAGATGAGCAAACGTTTTATATTAAATAAAATACAGGTTTTAGAATAAATTTTACCTTTATAATAATTCTTTTTTTTATAAGTTGTTTTTTGAAATGCTTCTGTTGTCATTCAGTTTGAAATAAACAACAAAGATTATTTCAATAAATAATATTTTAAAATAATATTGAAACTAGAACTTGAATAATTTGAATTTCAACTACTTGAAATGTTAAAATTCCTAGTGAAGAAACATGAAAAATTATTGACTGTATAAATCGATCGCTACTTAGAGACAAACGAAAGCACACAAAACAAGCATGAGACTTGATTGTCTGTGCGTGTGTGTGCGTGTGCGTCTGAGTGTACGTGTGTTTGAAAGAGAGTAAAAGTTGTAAAATGGTGAAAAGGTTAATTAAAAGAGATGAATTAGTGATTTAATGTTGGAAAATAGTAATAATTTTGAAACTGAAAAATGATTTTATTAGGATTGAACATTGGTACATTTTATGATTTTTATGCAGTTTTTATCGTTTGTCATTTTTTTAAAAAAAGCTTTCTCAATTTCAGTTTCAAATAGCCCCTATATTTTTTTTTTTGTAATTAACAATTTATGAAAACACTAAAAAATTGCACTTCAATGTTTTCTGGAAGCGTTTATTCAAATACTTTTTAAAAATAAATTTTTATAAATAATAACATCGCTAATGTATGTAAGGGAAGAAGAAATAATTTAATAAACCAATAGAACAGAAATTGTTGTCATGTTATACTGGCGTCACTGGTTAGTCAAATTAGTTATGCTGATTTTATAATAAAAATTAAATTTATCCAGGCAAAAACGCAAAAATATCAAATAAACTTACATTGGAATACAGTCAACTTTCCCTCACAAATTACGAAACTCTAAAATAAGAAACTCGTCATAATTGACTTATAGCATTTAAATGGATAAACAATATAGCAATAATAAACTTCTTAAACAATTTGTCGACAAACTATTTTCTTAAAAGTATAAAACTGGATATATACAATTCAAGCTAGTTTCACTATATTAACAAATTATACTTTTTAAACTCATTTGTTTTTAAAAGTTCTGAGTGAAATATTTTTTTATCCAAATGGTGTATACATCATTTCAATATTAGAATGTAAAGATATATATATATATATATATATATATATATATATATATATATATATCCGCTTAACTAAATAATATTTTCACTTTAGAACCTACTAAAAATTTAGATAAACACGCAAATAAATATGGGAAAATAAAAACAATTCGACTGTAGTAATTATTTTACAACAATAAAATAAACTTGATGCATGCATATTGTGTGCTAATGAACGCCATTCAACAACGCAACTGTGAAAGGATGAAATTTTTTGGAATTTCGAAACAAAACGAAGCAACGAGATGCAGAGCATACTCCCATATATACCTGCTCAACAACTGTTAGTCTCCACCCGGCACCCAGTCAACAAAATTGTATGTAGAGGACGTGTGATATACTCCTTGAGAATATATATAACACACATATACATAAATAGAGGTTTTCATTTATGCAGATATCATTAGATATAGTTGCCCATTTTCTGTTAGCTATTTTTTAACTTTGAAGTTGTTGTAGTTTATATTTATTTGTGAAAAAAATCGAAATAAGACCTCCTCTGCTCGATGAATTCGGACAACAACAGTATCATTAGATCTTTATGATGAAATTGAGTTGGATAATTCTATTTTCAACAAATTAAACAATTTCCAGAAAATTCAAGTAAAGAAATTGAAAAGACAAACTATACATTGATTAATGCCAACAATTCGGTAAAATTCATACAATACTGTATATATATATATATATATATATATATATAATATAATATATATATATATTATTTATTATATATATTATATATATATATAATATATATATATAATATATATATATATATATATATTCTTGACAATATGTAATTTTGTATATATATAAATAAATAAATATATATATATATATATATATCAATATATATATATATATTTACACTCAAACACACATACGTTTACACCTTACAGACAAAAACACGCTTAAATACATACATGCATGCAAATATAATATTTCAATAACTCTATTAGTTTTAAACTTTACTTAATTAAATGTTTCAAACAATAGATACAGTTATTAATAATTATAACTTTTTAATGATAAATTTATCAAAATTTTACAAAATTGTCCACATACAAACAGTGAGATAAAGTTTTAAGTTTCATTATTTTTTATCTGCCAAATCAAACTTCTCCCATTTTCGGCAGACATGAGTCCTCTCCATGTCATCCAATTTGGAAAAATTTGCAGATAAATTGAATTTTCTTTGACACCTTTTTTGTGCGTACATTCAGCTGGTTACTTGCAATGTTGGTATGGATGGATGTGTCCTTGGTGTTGTCAACTTTGTTGCTGATGTGGTTTATAATTTTGCTGTTGTTGACATTGTTGAAGTTATTGTTATTAGTGTTTTTATTACTCTTGAGACAATTCAAACTTGGTGTGTTATCCACGATTTTGTAAGCGTTACTGATTTTATGGATGGGATTCTCACTGTCTTCGATCAACAAAATGTTTTTCTTCGTTAGTTTCGGGCTGTTTTCAGAAGTCTTTGATCTGACTCGATATAAATTTTGATTTTTGTTGATGTTCAAATCGTTGTCTAAATAATTATTTTTTGTTTTAATTTCTTCCCTGCTCCTGCTGTCATTGACCGTATCGAAACAGGGTTTTCTGGACATAGTTCTGTACAGTTGGATTTCTGGATCAATCTGGCTAACCTGGCGATAGTCATCACTTGAGTAATTTTGTAGTTGTTGCTGCTGAAAAAAATGTAGAGAAGAGTTGAAAAACTGTTGATGATGTTGTTCATTATGTTGCTGGTATCGTTGATGATTTTGAAAATGTTGTTGCTGATGTCGAGGTTGTTGTTGACAGAGCGATAAACTAAACTGTTCTAAAATGAACATTCTTTCATCACTACCATTCTGTTCGTTTGTCACAAATTCTACTTCATGTCCATCTTCATAGTGACATTCAGTTTCATCTGATTCGATAGATGACACCTCCCACAGTGCCTGTGCCAGATCGAGGTCGACACGCGGTGAAATGAACGTGCTGTTGAACATGCACTCGCCAGGTTGGTTGTGTTTTTTCTTGGTCGTTGTAGCGATGCTGTTTCCCTCTACACTGTTGTAACCAGTTTTGATGTTGTTTTTGTACGTGGCAATAGTTGATTCGCAAGAAGACCACTTCGAAGTATCATTGTTGATGCTGCTGTTGCTGGTTCTACAATTACGGCCGACGCTGCTGAAATAAGGACGCGACAAGCTTTCGATGACATTGTTGTTTGTTAATTTGAAGTCAGGCGGTTGTTCACTTGCATAGAGAACTTTTTGTAGAAATTGTGTTTCGGATGGAGCGCGTTCGAAACGAGAATGATTGATTTTCTTGACGTTCTTCTTCAAACTTACGTTGCTATCAAATATGTAAGGAAGTTTCTCCTTGTTGAAACGTATTTTTGTTTGAACATATTTGTCATCATCACAATGACAATCCGTTTCATATCTTGCATTTCTCAAGTCAGAGCAAACAAGTTTTTTGTTGAAAGTCTGGTACGCCTCCTCATATCTGTTCGCTGCATAACTTTCAATATTGGAGAGGTTTGTTGGAACGACACCTAATATCCTTTCAATATTATTTGAATTCATATCGATTTAGCTGGAAATATTTTATTTTTCAATGCTAGCTACAAACAGGTTTTTTTAATTGTTATTTATTTACAAAGAAAAAGTAAAGAGTTTTATAACAGAAAAAAACTTTGAAGGTTTATTAAAATTCATGAAATAACATAATATGAAAAAAAATCCTCGTCGTATTTGTAGAATTCACTACAAATTTTATTATTTTCAAACCCGACAAGCTCACTCAACGATATCTGACACTTGTCTGAACATTTCATTTGAAACCTAATCTTTTATAGATTTCATAAAACAAAGAAATGCTAGATCACCAAGCATATATAAGCTAACAACTTAAATACATGTGTCAAATCATTACGTAACGTATCTGTTGAAACCGGCCCATTGTTCATGTTGACATTATGTTTCAGTGAATATTTACAACCAGTTTAACAACGTGTCAAAAAATGGAATAAAATTTAAAAAATAAGCTCGTTATTTAAGAGTGTTAATTAATATATCATACCGGTGATCTGACATGGCGTGACATTTTCGGTACTTTATATCGTTTGATATGGAAATAACTTGGTTATTATTTTTACTGTACGTGAGTTAAATGCCAAATGCAAACTATATACCTGTTGCTGCATCTGCAATATGTTATAACATCTGTGAACTATGTAACATAACATTTGTGTCTTGTTCATGTTTTTTGAACTTATATTCCTTTAAACTGTTTATGAACTTCAAAATGACCTCAAAGACTTGTTTTGTATTAAGAGGAGTTGATAATTAGATGATATATTTATTGGTTCATTAATTAATCCATGAACATTCAGTACAGAGGAATAAAAAGGATTTTATATTTCACAATTTCACTAAGTATTTTAAATAAAAAGGCAATAAAGTAACTCCATCACTTCATTTTTTGGCACGCACGCACGCACGCACGCACGCACGCACGCACGCACAAACACACGCACAAACACACACACGCACGCACGCACAAACACACGCACAAACACACACACGCACAAACGCACACACTCACATAGCTTGTGAAATCATCCTAAGCAAGGCGTTGTATAATTGTAAGTACATAGCATATCGCGCAACTTCATCGCGCTGAATTACGTGACGTTTGTGTCAAACAACTAATTCATCCATAAATATTTAAAGTGAAAGGTTTAGAAGCAAAATTTTTACATCAATTGTAAAAATATCTAATAATCGTAAAATAATAATTAATAGTTATAAAACAAATAATAGTAATAATAACAAAATATGAGGTTTCTCTGTTTATCCACTTCTTCAACAACTATAATTAACAACTATATTTACAACAATTATACTGTCAAAAATTATAATTAATAATTATAAAACAAATAATAGTAATAGTAACAAAATATGAGGTTTCTCTGTTTATCCACTTCTTCAACAGCTATAATTTACAACTATATTTACAACAACTATACTATCAAAAATTATAATTAATAATTATAAAACAAATAATAGTAATAATAATAAAATATAAAGTTTCTCTGTTTATCCACTTTTTCAACAACTCACAGTCATTATCACGCAATTAAGAAAACATGTCTTGAAACTTCGAAGCAGTGTGCCCACCGAACAACCAAGGAAACCCGGCTGATCTTTATGAGAGTATTCAAACCCTGACCTTCAATGGTCCTTATTGTTTCAATTATATGCTGAAGAGTCAAAAAGATTTCGGTAGCCTCTGAAATAACCTTGTCAAAACAATGAACATTGCCCACAATTCTGTCCGTTATAATATCTTTTAGAATATTAACTCTTGTTACAATACACCCATTTAATTTGTACTTATCATTTACTCAAATTTTATTACTGCTCGGAAAGTTTCAAATTGCTTTATAGTTTTCAGCTGTTATTTGACAATATTGCAAAGCATTTTACTCTTTTTCCAAACTATGAAACTTACTTTTATAAAAATTTATCTTTCCAAAAAGTTGTTTTTTGTTGGTCCAATTAATTAGGTGAATGAGAAGAAAGAAAGATTGGTCTAATTAACCGAAACACTGCTATAAATTATAAAAACAATCGCTAATAGAATCGATAAAGGCAATTTAAATATTGAAAAGAAAGATTTCATTTTTAATTTACTGCCAGCCAAATGTTAAATTGGCAAGAACTCATATATATACATATACACGTTGGTTCAACAGGAGATGTTTTCGAATGTTCGTTATTATGGAGAAGTAAAACGAGGTGGTAAAATGTATTCAGTATATTTGCTGGCAATAATTTGCATGCTGAAGATGGTTCAATGTTCTGGTCCAAGAACTGAAGGTAAAATTTTGATATTATAATGTTGATTGTCAAATACCTTTTTGAAATGTATGTTAGCTACATTTTTTTCATGTTTTTTTTCATATTTTTATTTATTTTTTTTTAAATTTAAATAAAAAAAAAATTTCAATTAGCGAAACCATGCCCGATCATACAATTTTATTCTTTAGAATTAGATCCCCTCGGAAATGAAGTTTATTTAGCAATTGTTCGTACCTCCAAGACAAAGGTATATAAAAATAATAACATAAATCATGTTGATATTAAAAAATTTATGAATTAATTGAATATTTTTTATAAATTAAAGTTTAAATGCGAATATAAAAGTACATCGCCCTCAGCTCATTTATTTTATTACCTACCCAAAAGCCATGCCGAGAGACCATACTGGGTGAGAACTTGATATAATTTCATTAAAGTTATGGCTTAAATTTTCTTCTTTTTGTACATTTATATTGTTTTGGAATAAATAAAAGCAGCTTTCATATGACTTAAATTTAAAACATATTAATTTTTTTCAAATGCTTAAAGCATAATTATTATGTACCTTTTTTTCAAAATTTGACACAGTTAATGATCTGAACAATATAAACGCAATAATTGATTATAGTCTCCATCCGTTATGGGTCTGACTTTTCTATTCCATTCATCAGTTTCTCTCTCCATGCCAATCTATCCATTGCGCCTGTCTCCTTGAGACCAAATGCCTTCAAGTCCCCCTGTATGGTCTGCGTCCAGGACTTTTTGGGCAACCTCTTGGGCGGGTGCCAGGCACCTGGTGCTCAGAAACGGAAATTATTGTATCGTTTTCGCTTCGCTTCACATGGCCAAACCATCGCAGGCGATGACGACGACATGCATCCTTCAACGTGCACAGTCCCGATTGGTTCAGGATCTCGGTTGTATGGATATGGTCCCTTAGGTCAACATGTTGCATCCAACGAATCATCTTCATGTCAGTTCGGTGAGGCTGCTATTCGAGTTTTGTTGTCATCGGCCAGGTCTCTGCACCATACATTAGAACAGAACGTATAGCTGTGTTGTATAGTCCTGAGTGCAGTGGTAGAGGAATGCTACACCGCATCAGTACCGAGGCAAGAATGCCATCTGTCCCACGCCGTACGCATGCGTCCACAAACGGCGGCATCAGCATGAATTTTTTAATTTGTTTCAATTGATAAATGATGAACCAACTCATTCTCACATCTAATGAGTTTCATGTTTCTGGTTGTATATTTCCTTATGGCGATATTTCTGATCGCTGCTTGGCAAAAAAAGCTAGCCTGCCAAACAAATGCCCATGTCCAGGGGCGGATCCGGAATTTTGTGTCGGTGGATGATTTCAAAAAGGTAATGTTGATGCTAATGACCTTTTTTGTTAATTCCTATTATTTCCGTTTATTCCTTATTCCCGTTCCGGTGAGGATAATTTTAATGTTCCTAAGTTAATGACCATTTTGTTTACAAATTTCAGTCATTTTGCTCCATTTTACACAGAACTTTCACACAGAACTGTCGTAATATATTTATCATATCTATTACTGTTTTGTTTATAAGGTTTTGGAGATTGTATTTAAAAACGCTCTATAAAAATTTTAATTAATAAATAAATAATAATAACCGTTCGTTATTAATTAACAACACTATTAAAAAATTAGCAACGCTTCTTACTGTGTGTTTTTACGCACAACCACTCAATAAAAATTTTAATTTAAATTTAATTTTTTTTTCTACCACTTAAAATTAACTTATCAGTTTCAGCACTCCCATTATCATCGTAAGCCACAATTATTCCTCACAAACATCGTCAACATTAAAACACACAGTCAGGTTTTTTCAAGGTTGGAGCTGCGTTTTACATACTGGAAGTCAGACTTCGTCAATGTACGACCCGCCCTAGCATGTTGAATATTTTTGACGGAGAAGCTCACCATGTTTGCCGTTTTAATTAGATAGTCACTTCAATATTTCAAATGCGGATTGAACTATGCCATTTTTGATAAGCTAACAAGAATTATTATTTACCGTTTTTGATAAAAAAATCACGTTGGATTTAATAGAACAAAATATTTTTCGGATTTTAAAAACTTACTGAATGTTACGCGTATGATGCGTGGGTTATCTTTTTTCTCCTTCTCTTACTCTCTCTTTCTCTTTCTTTCTTTCTCTTTCTCTCTCTCTCTCTCTCTCTCTCTCTCTCTCTCTCTCTCTTTCATTCTCTCCCTCTATCTCTATCAATTTCCGGCTTATGTTCATGACGACGTCTCGAAAATGGAAAAAATGATGATGACGATGTTAATACAAATAAAAATAATAATAATAATTATTATTATTAGTTCATTGTGGTAATAAAATAATGAAATTTATAACGATAATAATTATAACAAAAATAAACCATTAATCTTTTTATATTTCAACAAATATATTATTTAGAAGGTTCATTCCTAAAATTGAAAATAAACATTTATATTTTATTCATTTAATAAAAAATGTTAATCTTTATTAGATTTCTCTAGTTTCACAATGAGTCTTTTGACAACCATTCTGTCAAAAATAGAATGACATGGAGACTTTAAAAACAAATTTTGGTTTATGAACCACCGTTTTCCGAATTAATTAATTGGCAAAATTCTTTATTAAAACAATTTGGTAAAACAATTTTCAAAAACAATTTTGTGAAATTCTTAGTAAAAACAGTATATTAAAAGAATTTGATCAACAAATGACTACTTACTCTAACAACGCTAACAGACGAGCAAGTAGTGATCGAATAAAAAAACAGTTTCAAAAACAGGTTCAATTAAACAGTTTAGCAAGCATTTTACTGAAACAACGAAATGGCAAATATAATTATCCCACTTGAATTAACTTTTCTTTTCTAGATGATTTTTTCAACATCGTCAACACATTTTCCTTCCCGGCAAGATTTCTTGTCACCACATTTTGTACCATCGTAGGCTCTTGAAGCTTTGTCAATAGAACAACTACTACTTTTTGGGTTCATGCAAAAGAGCTGCTCGCAAATGCTCAGTTCAAATATATCTGTAGTCTCTTTCTTTTTGTGTGTTTTTGTTGGTTAATTTTATTATTTGAAATTTTTAATTTAATAGAACAAAATGGGGCTCTATGTGATTGATATGGTACAAAACTTGCAAACACATATTGGGCACCATAGTTTATATCTTTGTCGTAAGTTTTCAAGTGAAGTATAAATTATTTAAAAATTTTAATGCCAAAAGATATTTAGAATTAAATTTTCAAAAATAATTATAAAACAACTTTAACATACATCGCATGTAGAGGAACTAAAACCTAATATGGTCTCACACTGTTGATCAGCGTTGTACATTTTTCCAAGATTAAATTTCAGATAATTTGAGAGATCGATATATTTTGAAGCGGTTTTTGTCAAACAATTACTGTTTGTACTGCGTGTAAATTATTTAGTTGGGTTGAGTTATTGAAATTTAAAAATATCTATAGAGTTAAAAATGATATAAAAAAATTAAAATATTTAAAAGTTAAAAATATATTTGCCAGGAGCCAAAATAATAATAGGGCTTTGCAACGTCATCGCAGCATTTAGAAATGAGAATTATGAAATGGGACCAAATTTTGAAGGACTTAAGCAATAAAACAATTAAAAAGTTATCAAAATGAAAATTCATAATTACGAAATCATGAACATTTTGAATAAATAAATAAATAATAAAATTCTGATAACTCAACCTTTCTAACAGTTTGACCATTTCGTCAAAGTGTTTAACCGAGTTCTTTGAAAAAGAATTCAAGGCTTTATTTCCTATAGATAACCCTTTCTTATGCATGATATATACATCATCATTCTCCACATCAGGATCATATACATCGATGTACGCTCCCATCCTGTTGGAAGGATTTTAAAAGAATGGAATGAAGCAAATTTTTTTTAAAGTTTATGTGTAGCCATGGTGTAATGGTTAATGTGCCTGGCATTAATGTTGCAGGGAATAGGTTCGAATGCGAAGTTGTTCATGTTTATCTTTTGCAAAATATGTATATATATTGTTGCGGTAATTTTTTTGATGTTACTATGACTTAATATCGAAAATGGCTCATTGATATTTAATTTAAATACATGAAAGAACAAATAAAGTTTTCAAAAACTAAAGTGTAAACATTATATAATAAATTTTAAAAAGTCATTTCTAAAAACACTAAACAAGAAGACAAATTTTATATTAAATATTAACTAATGAATAGAAATTTTAATAATTAATAATCAATATTTTTAACGAAGTTAAACTGAGCCAGACATCAATCCAATCGCGTAGCTGACTAGAAATGCGGTTTGATAGACACCTCTGAACCTTACGATAACTGTAGCATTGCCTTTGCAAATTGTATCAACTGTGCCCATACTTTCGGAATTTTCGTCGTCGTAACTGGATTGCCCAAAATCAAATTATTGTTTGTTAATAAATCTTTGTAAACATATTTGAAATGTTCTTCATTATACGATTGTTTAGATTTTATAATATTACAATTTATTTGTTAATATTATTTGTCTTTTTTAGGCATCTCAGCTCTGATATATGGATAAATGCTCACTTAACTTTCATCCTTACATTAAAACTTTTGTGCTTCAATGGCTGTAATGCTTTTTATCACGTGTATTTGTGCGCGTTTTATGTTTGTTTTGTGGCAGACGCTTCTAAAAGATATTAAAGAAAAATTAAAAAAAAAAATTGTTAACTCAGTGATGGCAACTGCAACGTCAAAAGTTGGAAGTTCATTTCTAGCGTGTTTCACTTCGATCCATTCTGCAAAATCACCAAGAGCTTCGGTCATGTTTATTTCGTTCGGGGCATGCTGCACTGAAGGGTTCTCAGTGAATGAAGAATCATCTTTGGACTTGAGTGGAAAAATTTTTGTTAATTCTCGAAATAAAAATAGTTTCAAAATTGGCTCTAAAAATCTAAAAAAATTTGTGAAAATATTTCACATGGGTAATTTTATATAACAGTCTTAAAAAGTTTAATTTCTAGTTTTTTTTTCATCATAACAGATTAAACAAAATCAATTGAGGTGAGTGAATAAAATGATTCCACATGGAAGCTTTGCAGTTGGCTAACATCCTCGTTAATTCGAATAAATCTCAGAATAAATTGAAAAATATAGCAAATAAATATAAATCAAGTGTATGTAAAAATTTCATTAAACCTCAAGTATTAGGAAATCAACCAAGTGGACTGAGTACGTGTGCCCATACTTGGATGTGTTAATCTTCTTGAAATTGTTATCAACCTAAACAGAGTAAGTAAATACCGTGTTACATATATCAACAAAAATCTTGATAATTGTATACGATAGTTTATTTAGTCTAAAAATCACCTCGTTTATCATGTGGGCAAAGTAAGTCTTCATGTCCGATATAGCCTTAGTTCTATCATTGTTATTAGACATCATCCATCTATGTAGTATATGTTAGAAAAAGTTTGTTAGTTTGAAATAATTTAAATTTTATTTAAAATAATTTCATGCGATTTTTCATTTTAATAAGATGCTAATAAAATGACCTTTTAAACATCGAGTGATCTAACACAGCGAGTATTTCAATGGTGACGTTTTTAGGGACAATTACAATTCCAGTTTTGTTAGAAGCATTCTCGTTGTCGATATTTGTGGATGAATTTTGCTTGTAGCAAATTTTTGGTCCTGGTTTTGAGGGCTCATCGTCGTCATCTGTCGCTACTATAGCGTTCTTCATAGCTGGAAACGAATTCAAAAATGTATTACAGAAATTTAATTCGATATATATCTCCTAATCATTTTTTTATTTTTTCAAATTGTTCCCCGTTTACACAATTTTTCAATATAATCCTCATAAATTTTATTTCGTAAAAATGAATAGTTTCAAATTGAGTTCAACCTTGCTTTGCTAAAAATTCGTCCACACATTTCTTATTCAAACACCACTTTTTGGATGCACACCTGGTCCCATCGTACGCTCTAGAGCCAGTGTACGCCCTACATTCGTTCAACTTTGTGTCCATGCAGTACAATCTTTCACAAATCGATTCATCCCTTTTCTATTCAATAAGAGATGAAACATTTTACATTCTAGTACCTTCTACAAATTATTCTTAAATAAAATAAAACACAAATTTATATACAGTCAGTCATACTTAATAGCCTAAAGATTCCTATTAGTCATATACTATCTTTCATTGCCTTTTAAACTATACATAGTCTAGGTATACCTAAACTAAACTATTAACTGACTATAGCCTAGGTATAGACTATAAATATAAATACTTACAGTCAATAATTTTATGTTTGCATTCAAGTCTTTATTAATGATATTGAAATTCCTCTTACCATTCCGCAGAAATGTGAATCTGGTCCTAAGATGAATTTGCACTGCTGGTCTAGATTGTACCTATTTCCCAGGCTACTTTTGAGATATTTTGTGATGTTTTCATACTTTAGTTGAGGTTCTCTCAGACAGGTGGTGTTGAAAAATCTTTCGGGAAATTTTGAATAGTTTTAAAAACTTTATAAAATCAAAATTATTAATTTTTTTTTCTAAAATATATTCTATATTATTCTAATATCATAAAAATAATATGAATTTTAAAATGTTTTTTGCCTTATTATACAGCGGAGTTAAAACATATTGAAAAAGATAAAAATAAAATAAATTTCAAAATGTTTTTTATCTGACCATACATTCTAAATATAATATTTTAACAAGCAAACACTGACTTGTTAGCACCTTCTACAACTTCGTCAAAATTTGCCGAAGAGCAGTTTGAAAATGTTTGAAAATTTTCCTTCCCATTTTGCGAATAATTTCCAGCCATAATATAGCGGTCGCCCGATTGACACTCATTGCCAACACCATCTTCCCATATGCCCATGCTATGAAAAGATTGAAAATTAAATCAGGTTTATCAATAAAAGACAATAGTTTAATCTGATAATTAGAAATAATATGATGAATATCGATTAATTTGATCAGATAAACTACGATTTATTCAAAATATATTCGACGATGATTGCATCAGTCAGAGCAAAATTTTTCTGAAAGTTTCACTCCGTTACAATTCAGTGTGTTTTATTTTAAATTTTAAAATTAAACAGTTTTGTAAAATTCATTTATGGTTTTCTATTCGTTAGATAATAATTTACAGATATGCCGGTTAAAAGGAAAAATTGTCAGCTTATAAAATGTGACGTAGGTTTAATTTTAAAATTTATCTAAAAAAATATTTCAAAAGCGAGATCAAAATAGAATACTGAAAAAAAAACTAACATGTTTCCTATCAAATAAGCAGTCATCGTTGCGGTTTGATAAAATCCTCTCAGCCTTACAATACCGCTAGCGAATTCAGTGCAGATCATATTTCTAAAACCATTGGCGTCTCTATCATCGCCTCCATACCTTTGGAAAATGTATTATTTAAAATTAATTTATTGCTGTAAGCAAGGTCACGTATTTTTAGAAACTGTTATTATAGGAACTAATAAAAATCAAAATGCATACGCTGTAAATGCTATTGCAACGTCAAATTTTGGAATTTCTCCGCCCGTTAATTTCTGAAAGGTCCATAGGCCAAATTTAAAACGGGCCGCCTGTAAATCTATTTCATTTGAACCATATTTGACATTAGGCTCCTCGCTGAATGTAGAATCGTTTTTATCCTTTGGTCGGTTTAATTTAATTGTAATTAAATTTTCTAAATTAGTTGGAAATTAAATTGGCTTTTGTAAACGAGATAATAATATTTAAATATAATTTTTCTTACTAAAAAAATAATTGAAATTTACGAATTAATTTTCGATAACCTCAGCAATGTAGAATGAAACCAACTTTGCGGCATACTTATTCTTAGAAGATTTTATTGTTTTCAAGTAGCTATTCACCTAGACAATATCAATAATAAAGATTTCTAACAAGTTTTGATAAATATTTTTGAAAATGTAAAAGTATGTGAATAAAAAGAACTTTATTCAAAGTAGGATGGAGATAACTTTGTTGCATTTGCTAATATAAAAAACTAATACATATTTAAACTCAAGAAATTTTGTTTCTTAATTGACATTTGTAATGGTTTAGTTCAAAAGCTAACTTCGTTTAATATTTGACCAAAGTAGTTTTTTAGCTGGGAGATGGTCTGTTTTCTATCGTTGTTGTTCAAGTCTGACCAACTACAGTTTAAAAAAAATTTTTTAATAAATCACTTGAGTAAAATTTTTCAAGAATTAAAAATTAAAAAAATATATATAGATAATTGATATTTATTGAAATTAATTTACGTTCTAAAGATTGAATAATCCAAGATTACAACAACATCAAATACGTTCTTCTGTATTGCTGGAGAATCGTAACAAATTATCGTTCCATTCTTTGTGAAATTGCCGGCTAAAGTGATTACAAAATATTTTTTAATTGTAAACCAAAACTATAAAGAACATAAATAAATTATTATATGACATAAGGGTCGAATTTATAAGAGGGCAGTCCGGAACCCTCCAAACGTGAGGCCTACCAAAAAAGAGGCCCCCACTAAAAATGGACTTCCACAATAAAATGAAAAAAGTATCCAAACTACTATTGGTCGGTCAGTAATTATTACGTTTTTTTTCAAAACCTATCTTGTACATAATATATTGCATTTTCACAAATAACACTTGTGAGAAATACTGATTTTGATAGAAAAATTCAGACAAAAAAAATTCAGACAAATCTAGACATAGACCTTGGCAGTTTTTATTTAAAAAATAGTTCATTATGGCTATTCACTTTGTAGTTACCCTAGGACCCACGTGCCACTAAATCCGACCCTCTAAGAATTCATCCTTAACAAAACTTACCATTTTCACTAGCTGCTAAACCCTGAAGAAACACAGCAACCCAAATAAAATAAATTAAATTAACGCAAATCATTGTAACATATTTTTTCAATATTTCTTGACGGTATGATACGAGCCGAAAATGATTTTGGTATATGAAGAATGTTGTAGCAAATAATTTTGCAACAGAAAAACAATCAATAAACTGCGTAGTGAATAAAAAATTATGAAAAAATTATTAAAATGATTTGTTTTTTTAAACTAAACCGAATTGAAAACTACGGGGTTTGGATATTTGTTTTGGAAAATTGTATAATTTGCAATCACATCTTCTTCATCATATTATGATTTGATAACATTTTGTTAGTAGTAAGTCTGTCCTCACAAATTTTCAAAATTAAAAGGGCATATTTTTAAAACTTGATTAAGTTTGTCTTAATTAGATTACGACCGAATACATAGTAGATACAAAAACAAACAAAAAACATTTACATAAGTAATGTAAAATAACACTGCTTATGTAAATTACAAAAAAAACATTACAAATTCAAAGCTAAAACATACAAAACAAAAATTCAAATTGATACAGAAACAATAAAATACAAAACAAGTACGTCTCAGCATAAAATACAAATACTCTACAAACAAATATGGAAGTAAATAATTATTGAAAACAATCATCATCATTATCACCATCATCATTCAATAGCAATACTTTAACCTACTGAATAGATATCACAAATAAATTACGTAGCTATAGTTAGTTTATATGTACAGTTTAATGCGGAAATAATATAAATAATAATACTATTATAATTATTGAAAATAATAACTATCATTAGTCAATAATAATAATAATATTATTATGTTTGCTAAAAAATATTGCTAGTTTTGCGATAATATTGTAAGTTTAATATGAAAAAATTGACCGTTATAATTGATAATATTGTATTGTTATGCGCAAAAAAGAGAGAGTAATCTTTAACTTTTATTAATTCAAAAATGACAATATGATAAATTGAACTTGTGCTCAACTAAGTGATGGCGAAGACGACGACAATGGTGATGCCACTAGAGTGATAATGATGATATTTCATATTTTTCAAAACTTTCCCATGGAAAATTAATTTTAACGAATTTTGAAATGGTACATCTTGAAATATAATAAAAAGATCATAAATTCATCAAGTAGTTTTATGAATTTTTTTTTGTAGTTTAGTTGATGTGTAGCAAACTTCATATCTTCGGCCATTAATTTTCGTATTGTAAAATTTGAATTCACTACTTTTACAAGACTCACCAATTGCAGGCTGGATGAAGAAGTATTTGTTTGCAAAGTAGAGCAAACCTTTCTTTAAATTTCAATAAATTTTTATTAATACTTCAAGTAAATACAACGATATAAAAACTTAGAGACTTGACGCATACAACCATTTGCGGATCACGCCCCGCCTCTGTAAGTTGTTTTTTTATTAAGTCAATAACAAATTTGTCAAACCCGAAAAGCAACTTTTTATTTCCATAATGGACAAAAAATTGATGTGATGAGAAAAAATTGTTAGTCTAATTTTGGCTACAGTACCACAAATTTTGGCCCTTGTCAAAATTTTGGTTCATATATTAATTCAAACTTAAAAAGATTAAGTTTAAGATACATAGACTCACACCAAGGGATAATGGAAGAACACTTTTGAGATGGACACTTTTGAGACTGACTGACTATTATGGATATGAGACTGACTGACTGACTGACTGACTGACTGACTGACTGACTGACTGACTGACTGACTGACTGACTGACTGACTGACTGACTGACTGACTGACTGACTGACTGACTGACTGACTGACTGACTGACTGACTGACTGACTGACTGACTGACTGACTGACTGACTGACTGACTGACTGACTGACTGACTGACTGACTGACTGACTGACTGACTGACTGACTGACTGACTGACTGACTGACTGACTGATTGATTGATTGATTGATTGATTGATTGATGGAAGAAATGAAGTTTAAGTATAGGTATCGACAGCATATATAGTTGACTATTAAAAGTTTTTTGAAAGAGAGCCAAGGATAAATTTTGAGGTTTTTAAAAGTAAGGGGTATTTTATCTGTCCTGTCTATGAGTATATAAAGTTTTGTTTAGATAATTCGTTAATTATTTTACGCATTGCTAAGAGTACAATTCGTTTATAGCTTAACTCAAAACCGTTTGGCTTGCGTTGGGAAAAGAGAGATACTATCTTTAGTTAAATTGTTTTAAATTATAAGTTTCATTTAAAAAAGGGCAACAACCCAACGTCCAAGATAATGACGAGCAAGAAATCGTTGAGCAGAGTTTGCATTTTTGTAGACGCACTGAAAATTTTGAATTATAAAAAAAATTTTCATTATAAAGTGTCAAAATTAGCCATAGTAAAATATTTACGAAAGAATTTTTGAACTCCTTATAATCAAGGCTGATCAGTTCCTGTCTGCCTCCATCACCGACGGTTATTCTCTCATGAAATCTTCCAGGGCATCGGACTTGTAAATGAAAAGAAAAAATCTTAAAATACGTAAAATAGATATTTGAACAATTTTAATATAGTTATCGTATAATATCAATTCGATTTTTTTTAAACTATTGAAAAACGTAAACATGAGAAAAGACGCAGTGAACCAACCGTTTTGCAACTGAACAGCATTGAACTGAACCACCATGAGCAAACACATCACAACAGTATACTAGCGCATTTTAAAACGAATGAGGATTCAACAAAATGTTAAATCTCAACAATTATAAGTACGACAGCTTGACAAATTTAGCCTAAAACATTGAGCCAGTTTACACAGATTTTCTCAAGTCACTGATGCTCATTTGAATTTGTTTTTAACGCGCTCGATTTTTTGATCACTAAATGATTGAAAATTATTTATCTAGTTTCACTTATTTTTTTATGTCAACAATTAACGAAGAATAATAAATATAATTAGCGTTTTTTGGTTAGACTACATTCGTTTGAGAAAGATTTTTGAACACTTTGAACTCAACTTAATTCTCACTATTTTTTTCTTTTTAGTATAAATCGAAATTTGAGTTGGGCTTAGAGGTGAAGAAATATCAACCGAGCTATTATTGAATGTGTTAGTGCTGAAATGAGAATCAGCGGATTTCAAGTAGAGTTGTGAACCAAAACAGGGCAAGCAGTGCAGTAAAGAAATAAAAATCTACAACATTAAGGATTTAATTTATTTGAAAATAAAATTTAAAAAAGTTAATATTTACACAACGGACGCAAGCCAAACGAAATCGCATTTTTAAAGTTTGTATGTTCATTGAGCGCCATATGTTTTAGCAGGTGATATTGATGGTAGATCGAACAGGTTGTCGCCTCAAGCGATCAAATCCATTGATTCACTAACAAATGATGATGAAGATGATGATGAAGGTGGTGTTTGTGATAAACTTTGTGATGGTGAAGATGACAACATTTATGATAACACTAATAATGACGATGATAATTATTGCTGCAGAAAAACTTTGAAATTCATTAATCATATCTTTAATTCTCCCTAAATGTAGAATTAGAATTATTGAGATCAACAGAAGAAAAATGATTACGGAGATCAGAAAAAAAACCTAGATAGACAAGAATCAGTAATGTTAAAAGAAAGATCTAGCAGCCTCAAGAGAAAAGTATGATCAACAGTATCAGAAGAAGAAGCAAAGTCAAGAGCAAGAAGAAGAGTAAGATTATTATTGTCAATAGAGAGAAGATATCTTTATGTATTTTGAGAATGTTATTAATAAAAAATACTGTTTGTAGTTATAGACGCGATAGAGTAATAATTAACGTGCTTCGCACTTCTGTTGAAGTGACTGGGTATGATTGCAAGTAAACCCGGGCGACCACTTTGTGGGATAAATACGAACACACACATACGCGCACACTCTTACATCGTAGACACTCAAAATCACTCATACATAGACGATAGAAACATTTAATATTCTACGGCCTCAAAGTCATTGCCCGAATATATTGATATTTTTTTTGGTAACAGAATGTTGTTAACGCAACATTTCAAAAATTCAACACTACTTTCAACATTGTTCAACTTTTTATTCTTACATATTGGGATGAGGTTAACCTCTCTCTTTTATATAGTTCAAATATACATATTTGAACGGGGTGGGAGCTGAGGAAAAGTCAAGAGCAAGAAGAAGAGTAAGATTATTATTGTCAATAGAGAGAAGATATCTTTATGTATTTTGAGAATGTTATTAATAAAGAATACTGTTTGTAGTTATAGACGCGATGGAGTAATAGTTAACGTGCTTCGCACTTCTGTTTAAGTGACGGGGTGGGAGCTGATTTTTTTGTAAAATATACAATTTTTATCTGAAAATTTTTTACATAGTTTATGATTTTGCTATCAAACGCAGTTTTCTTTAGTAAATTTTCGCAAAACATTGCTGTTGTTGAAGAGCTGCGACAATTTGAAACAAAAATTCAGAACATTCCACAGAGGTATTGTTACATTTTTTAACCTCATGCCAAACAAACATTTTCATTGTGGGTACCGACATTGAGTCCAACCAAGACCCCATTGGCCACACCTTCAACACCAACACTGACAAAAGTTGTATAAAATAACCCTCAAAATTTACACGACGAAAGTTGGTCAAAAAGTTCTGCACGAATTACTTAAAAAAGTTCATGCTACAGTTATATAAAAGTTTTAATAGTCTTTGCTAACTATTATTCAAATTCTGGTTTCAAATCAAATTCTTTAAAAAATGCAAAGTCGGTTTATCAATTGTTAATACGTACTACGCTCGCAGACAATATTGCACGCAGCTCTATTTTAGACGTAGACTTTATATGACATAATAATTTTTTTAATACGTATTTCCCTTTTTTTGTTATTTAAAATTGACAAAAACATTTTGGAATTTAAAAAAATTTCAAAATACTTTATTTTAAAATGAACAGATTATAGGGAATGATGCTGAGTGGATTTGTAGTCCTTA